CTCAGCTTCCATGGCTTTTCTCCAACGATCAAATTTAACTGGTTGGTGATAAAATTGAGGATCATAGTTGGTAGAAATGTAACAAAGGTAGGTACATTAAGAAGGTGAAAATTTTTGGTAAGACGAGTATTTACTGATTGGATACTGAGTATGGTGATCAAAAGAAGTAGGAGTGTTTGTCAACAAATTGCAGTGAAATTCCTGGAGGTATATGGTGTTTTGTGTTGTCTATGTGATCTTCTAGGAGCTGGTATCATGGATGAGGTTGGATCTTGATCTGGGCTTGGAAGAGGAGGTACATGGTTATCATTGGCAGGATTAGCACTTAAACTAATGGTAGGAGACATAAGATTATTGGTATGTGGTGAAATATTCTCAGGGTTGTGGATAATATCAGTGGCAGATTTAGGGAGAACAAAATCAGGAAAGGGATCAACAGGTTTTCATGGGATATAGTGTGAAATGGAAAAAGAAGCTCATAGAATTTCACATCCCTTGAAACAAAAAAAGGACCTTGAAGTGATGTCATAGAGCTTATACCCTTTGACACCAAGAGGATATCTAATAAAGACACATGTCTTGGCTCTTGGATGGAATTTTGTTCGATTTGATGATAAAGTAGAGGCAAAGCACAGGCTACCAAAGACTCTAAGGGACTGATATTGGACTGGAGATTTATATAGAAGATATAAAGGGACTTTGTTTTTCAGAATCGAAGATGGTGTGATCAGATAGGTAGCTGTGAATGCACTCATCCCAGAACTGGATAGGAACACGAGTTGGAAGAATAATGCCATTGCTACATTAAGTAAATGCTGATGTTTTCTCTCTACAACAGAATTTTGCTCAGGCCTTTCAACTGAATATTGGTGAATAACTCCTTTTGAGGCAAAAAACTCAGCAAACTGAAATTCCGGAGCATGATCTGATGTAAACTTCTTAATAACAGTATGGAACTGAGTTTCAATCAAAGCAAAGAACCTTGGTATGATGAGCTTTACATCAGATTTATGCTTCATGAGATAAACCCATGTAAAACGGGTACAATCATCCACCAGTGTCACAAAGAATCTATGGCCAGCATGTGTTGGGATGTGGTAAGGACCCCATGTGCCACAGTGTATTAAGTCAAAAGGATTCTTGGACAAATGATTGTTAGACACAAAAGATAGTCTTCTATGTTTTGCTAAAGGGCAAATATTACATGGGTCTGTGAAGAAATTCTTGTGACTATTACAGGCAATATTCAGTAGTTTCTTCATAAAGTCTAACTTCTGAAAGGAAAGGTGACCAAGTCTATCATGCCAAGTCTGAGAGATCACATTATTTACAACACAGTATGTAGAATCAAAGCTATTACAACCAGTTAAAATAGAATTTGAAGATGCAACATCCAATATGTATAGGCCCTCTATCTTACTACCTTTGCCAATCATCTTCTTGTTGCCTTGATCCTGATATTACAGTAATCAGTAAGAAAGTTGACGCTGATAGGTGAATTCTTAGTCAGTGAACTAATAGACGATAGGTTGAATCTAAACTGAGGAACATATAACACATTGTCAAGCACAAGTTCAGGAGTGGTTGATAATAGTGTAATTATCACGTTATTCATCCACTAATAATTGCATTTTCATGATTTATTAGCACCTAAATATTCTAAGTACACTCATATTTTGGTTTATGTTGCAAATGGACGAATACGGTGGAAATGAGGAGAAACAAGTGAAAAAAGGCCCTAGATGGAGGGAAGTGAA